AGCTGCAGGCCCGCCACCACAAACGGTGCTGTAATTCAGCTGAACAGTTTTATAGCAATATAAATTTAGCGCTTACAACGCAAGAGGCTTCTCGTGCAAGCGTTACAGGCATTTTCGAGCCGAAAAGCAAGCGCTGTGAGGCGATTCAGTGTTCGTAAAATTGTGGTGTGCCAGTGCATTCACCAGTTCGTAGCCCGTCAGCAGCCATAACCACGCCCGCTAGCATCCCAAGCCACGCCCATTGTCACCAGAAACCAGGCCCAACGCGGTTTTGTCGTCTGTCACTGGCCGAGCCCGAAACCCACTTCTAACATAAACCACAGACATCTGAAGTCACGGCCCCCGTTGTCTCAAACCTGGACAGCCCAGTTGGTCTGTCGTCACTCCTCAGTGCATCAAAACAGACGCGTCATGAATCATGATGCTCAAGCAATGCAAAACTAAGAACGATACCGCCAGCCTCCAAAAGAGGTACCTACCACAAGGCTTTCGCTGTTCGCGAATTTTTATCTGTTTAATATTGGTGTCGACTGGTAGAAAGCATCTCCACCGGGCTGTTGCAGAATGACAGATAGAAGGTCCAAGACCGCGCCTCTGTCACCCGACAGAACGAATCGAATGAAAGGATAAAATTCTTCTTCGCCCTGCGGACCGCACCGGAACGCTAAAAGGATCAGCCGGAACGGGACTGCCGGTCTGCCAATTAGCTCCCTTCCGGCAGACCGCGGGTGAACCATATCCCTCCGTGTGTCAGAACGAAAATCTATCCCCCCTTCGACAGGTCAGACGGACCAGCTCCCCTGCGTCCGGCAGGACTGAGCATCTCCCCCGTTCCCTCCGCCCGGACTAGCCCTCTCCCCGTTCTGTCCGACGCCCGCTGCGTCCTTGGTGAGCAATCGCGGCGATGAGTGGCGCGGCGGCGACCGTCGCGGCGATGAGTGGCGCGGTGGCGACCGTCGCGGCGGCCAAACAGACTGTGCTGGTAGCGGGAAATCCGGGGGAGGGAGAGGGCTGCAATCACGGCGAGACAACCAGCGCGGCGGGAGGGAATTCCCGCAGAGGGCCGCACGCAGTCGTGTTCTCTGATTGTATGGGTCCACACTGCGGACAACCGCCTCCACTGGACGTCCACAGATAGCCGCGTCCACATTCGACAGACAGCCGTGTTGACAATCTCAGCAAACTGAAACGCAGCGCTCCTAGAGAATGGGGGGAACTCATAAAACAACACAATTGAGGTTTCATGGAACGGAGCACATTTTCAGCAGAGGTGAAAAAAGGTGTCAACTCTCCAACCGGTGTTGGAGACAGAGTCAATCCAATAAAGGAAGGTCGTCGGAGACACAACCACTTCGATATCTAACTTCTAACAATCTCGTTTCATTGTTGTCGTCAAATTCTTCTCGTTTTATTTGATGCACGCAAAAAAATCAATCATATTGAGTCTTAGTTCATTACGAGAACTTCATACTCCACAGCACAGAGCACTATATACACTATACAGTAGCCATACAGTATACATAGGCTGCCCCGGAGACACCGGAGACAGAAGGTGGTGAGAAGGTGATGACTCCTAAAGCCGGGCGGAATCCATAAAGACGATTCTCTGTGACGCTTGCCGCGAAACTAGACCTTACGGCTGTCTCCGGAGACACGAAAAAATTTCAGTAGCGAAAACGCTAGCACAAACCCTGCGCACTTGTGACAACGCGGCGCAGCTTCTGAAAATACCGTTGGGATAGTATGCGCGACAGTGAAGTGTGCTTGAAGTGACGGAAGAGAGTGGTTGGATCTTAGTTGGATCTACCTAGGTAAGAATAAAATAAGACAATGGTTGAGGTTGGGGAATAATTATCGAAGTTGAGGAATCAATAGGTACCTACTGAGGAAATATCGAACTTTTCAAACAAAAGTAACATATATTGTACAAAATCCCTTGTGGAGGATTTTTATTATATAGTTGATGCAGAAGCAGTCGTTTTCCTGTCATTTGTTTTATATTTCAGTTCAAAGTTCAGTGTTGATTGACTGATTTAGGAATGCATGTGAAGGTGGTACAATACATTGATTGCATTTTATTCTACAAATACTTCAAAAGGAAAAGACAAACCTGAAGTTTCTGTTGCTGATTGCACTTCTCTGTGAATTTCAAGAATTTTTAGATTAAGTATTCATTAGAAGTTTTATTTAAGCTTGATGTTGTTTCTTATCCTAGCTGGTCCTAGCGTCAGCCCATGATGTGTAAAACTTGTTTCTATGTACCCATTATACAAACCACATGGTTTGATATTTGCAGATTGAGGTGCACAGCCCCAATGCAAGCATTTGCATTTTGCAACAAGCATTTACCTATATTATTGAACCATTTCTGGACTTCCTGTTGGAAGTGAAGGGCAAATACTCCAAAGTCATCATTTTGATTTTACAAATATTAAATCTTTGTGGTCTATATCAAAGCACCCATCTTGCTGACACTATAAGGTAAGGACAGAGATCAGTCTAAATATGTGCATGCATCTCAATGATTTAAAACAATCCAAATCTTCATTGGTGCTTATATCAATGCAACTCTGCTATTTTCATTGGCTTATTCCCATGCCTTAGATTTCTGCATGGCAGAGGAAGCATTTATTCAAAGGTAATTATAGCTTTAAAATAGTAGGGATATGCGAGATGACGTTTTCAGTATCAATGCATGACTTCATTCCAGTAGCCAAATCAGTCCCTTGCAGTTCTGCATTTCTCGACCTGCCAACGGTGGCCATGGCGGCTGGTAAGGCCAGGTCCGGCAGTTGGCAGTAGCGCCACCTACACTGAAGGTCGGCGGATCCCGAGGCCACGGGCCGGCCTGGCCCGGCCGTGGCGGACGGGCCGGGGAGAGGGCGGCAGGGGGTGGGGAGGGGTATCCGGGGACGACGGGCAGCATTGCACTTTATAAGGTTGGTATAAATAATTTGCCTGGAGTATCCGCGAGTCATTTTAAGGCAGGCGTGACGTCACCCAAATATGACTTGCTTTTAATTGGAGAGTTGGTAGGCAAATTAAGGCATTTGCGTGTTGCTCATTGACTAGCCCTCTGTTTGGAATAACACCCGGTAATGATGCCCACAAGTGCAGTGCTAGCCTGCTTTTTTGTCTGTTTTAGGTATACATAGAAATGATTGAACGCCCTGCTAACCTAAATTTGTTCCTAGGTAATTCTTACGATTTGCTTGAAGTGCCGACCTCCGAAGGGATAGTCCTTTCGAAAGCTGATAATTGCGTCCGGCTTTTATTTTAGGAAAATAACACCCATTGTATTCATAAGCATTGCTGATTTAACAGCAAAGTAAGTTGAAAATTTCAATTACCTTGCCTTTGTGTAGTTGAAGGAGAGCAGCCACCAGCACACACGTCTAGCCGATCCCCTCACAGCCTCCACACTGCTGCCCATTGCCCAAGGACCGACCGTAACATCTGTGTGCCATAAAATGGTACAACGGCGTCTTTTATCAGGCGGACCCCAATGCGAACGCCACGCGGACCGTCCGTAATCGAACGATTGGTCCAGGACGACTGACGCAGGGCTTAGCTGATTTTGTCTGGTCTGACACAAGCTCTATAAGCATTGGTAAACCATCAGTTCAATCGTTTTGAGTTGACCTCGCGATTAAAGCATAAAGGCTAGCCATTAGTCTATCCCAGAAACAAATACACCCTCCGCATTTGTTCGCGGCATTCGTGATAACTGCGGTTCAAAAGCATGGGAACACAGTATAAACACAACCAGTATTCCAATTGGTATTGTTGGGTCCAGATGGCAGAACGATGGCAGAAAGTTTTTGAAGGTATAAAAGGAACACTCCCCCAAAAGCAACTCCAAAATCCAAAATATTCTGTTTCCACTTTTTGATCCTTTTTCAGCTCTTGAAAATACTTCACCTTTTATCTAACACAGTGGTCGGCAGGTCCTCCGGGGTCGTGCCCCCTTTTTTGGCGCAAGGCAGCGCCATTACCCCCACCTGCCAGGCCCCATTGGTGATATAACCAAGTTTAGTGAAATTCCATACCAATGACTGAAATTCCAAACCAATGAAATTCCATTTGTATCTCGGAGATATGTCTGTGACCAAAGGTCAGCTCACTTTGACGCCCTCTCTCGTTATCAATGGGAGAGGTCGCAAAGTCAATGGTAAAAATTGAAAGACGCCTCTTTTGGACGAGTGTCATTCCTAACACTGTGAAGCACTGAATCACAAGTAAACATGACCACTGAACCGGAAAACTACACCCGCAACCCCGCCATGTATACAGGGTGTTCCGAAAAAAGTGTCACAGTTTCAAACGTGTATTATAAACGCTTGACAAGTATTAACGCATTAAAACATACACCATATGAAAGCTCACGTTTGTCGTTTTTCAACAAGGTTACTCTCGTATCAGTGCTATAACTCCTTGCCAGAGGGCAGAGGAGTTCCTGCGATCACAAGTTTACGCGAACTTCTTGTAGTTCACGTTCTCGATATGGGCACCACCGCGGTTGAGACACGCCTTGATTCTGGCCTGGAAACTCTCAGCGACTTTCGTCAGAGTCTCGGGACCGACTTGATGAAGGTATCTTTCGACGTTCTGCTTAAGCTGGACCAGTGTCTTGGGCTTGCCTGCGTACACAGTGTCCTTGGCAGCCCCCCACAGCCAAAAGTCTAGCGAGTTGAGATCAGGGCTGTGGGGAGCCCACTCATGGGCGGTGCCGAGAGACATGAGGCGAGCGTTGAACAGCTCCTTAAGGCATTCGATACTCTCACGCGCAGTGTGAGGCGGAGCTCCGTCTTGCATGAACCATGCCTGTTGCAGTTGGTTATCGGTGAGCATATCGGTCAGATCCGCGTAGAATTCCCGGATGACCTCGCGGTAGCGCTCGCCATTGATGGTGACGGTCCGGCCATCTTCTTCGAACCAGTAGGGACCGAGGAGGCCGTGAGTGGCGTTGTAGGCCACGAAGGCAGTGACCTTCGGGCCTTTCAGCTGCTTCTCCGTTACTTCTTCCGGTGGTGAGTTACCCCAGAAAGTGTTGTTGTGGTTGTTCACCGCACCGTTCAGGTGGAAGTGAGCCTCGTCTGAGAACCAGACTCGGTTCACCCACCGCGCGTTCCTCTCCATCTTGTTGGAGATCCATTGACACATGACTTGCCGCTTTTGCCTGTCCCGATCCGTCATCTTATGTCTGGTGGATATTATGTACGATGACAGTTTTAGCTCGTCGCATAGGATGCGTCTTACGCTGGTTTTAGCAAGTCCGAGCTGTTGAGAGCGTCGACGGAGCGACTTCTTGGGACTGGCAATGACGGAATTTCGCACGGCCGCGATGGTCTCTGGGGACTTTGAAACCGATGCTGGCCTGCCGCTGCTGCCCCTGTGAGTATTCAGGACTGAACCTGTTGTCTCAAAATGGTTAACAAACCTTGCAATGAGTTTGTTGCAGGGCAGATCTCGAGTTTCCATGTCACACTCGCGTCGAAGTCGGCGGCGGACGGTGACGTACGATTTCGTCTCGAACCATAATCGGACGATTTTGATTTTTTGTTCTGGCGAGAAAACCATCGTAGATTTTGGTGAACCGTTTTGTCCACCAAAATCGACAAGGGTTGTGAGCAACATATCTTAAGCCAAACTATTTCGGACAATTTTTACGGAAATCGCACGTGACTAAAATCGTGACACTTTTTTCGGAACACCCGGTATGTCCCTGAGGTCATTTCAGGTCGTGAACGGTATCATAGTTTTTCGCTAATAACTTTTGATAAAGGCATGCCAGAGCGATGAAAATACCTTAGATGTGTTTAGCTCGACGACACGGATCACCTGATGTGCAACAAGACCTTCGATGCTTCTCGACGGGAGGAGCACGATGCTGATAAAAGTGCGCTCTTGCAAGTTCTGAGTGAAACGCTATTGAAGAAAAACTAGCGGCAAACAACGTACATTTTAGCAGTTTTTGTCTCCTGAAGGCTTAATCGTTATTCATAAGGTTAAATCTGGGGGCGTCATCAGAAAGAACGGATTGCTAATTGAGCTAATTGAGTATCGAATGCGTTTTTCCACAGCGCTCTAACTCTATCCTTTCCTGAGCTATAGGCCAGTTTGTCGAAAATTGTCAAAGGTTGACCTGGAAATTGGCGAAATTTTACGTTCGATGACCTCTGGTGAGCTGACCTTTGACTTGACCTAAAAAGTGACTGTAGTTTTCCTTCATCATTTCTTACCCTCTTTCGAACGCCGACTACGGCGTTTCGCTAGTGACCGGAGCCAAGTTAGTAAGGGGTGTTCAACCTCCACCTCCAGAAGGGCGTGGATACCCAGGAGCCCCATCGGGGCGCGGGTTAACCCCCATACGCATAGGGGTAGCGGGTATTTTTCGGGAATAGAATAGATCACGTTAAAAGGGTCGGATCACGAAAAATGTACCCTCGAGCCGATCATCTTTATCTGTCCTGAAAATGGCATGACCTTAACCCGAATAACCGTTGATTTGTGAGATCTGTTATTCTGAGATCATGGCAAGCCACAAAATCTCACTTCAAGAAGTTACAGCAAGAGCCGATTTACTCGGGACTTGTCATTGACCTCTGGAAGGTCACCAAATGACTAAGAACCTTTAAATTGGGTAGCAGCCGCTGCCTATCTTCATGGGCAGCACGCTCAATTTTTCTGCAAAGCTCCAGCTCAGAGGCCGAGATGCTCGGGTCAGGGTGCAATGGACAACTCCTCTCCCTTGCGTTAGTGACTGTGAAAACGCCAATAGGCGAGCGCCAGTTAATACCTACATGACAGTTACTTTTGCGCGACTGTACGGAATGGTGAGCAGCTATGTACATACATGAAAATTGGCATGCGCCAGCTAATCAGTTCATGTTTTGTTCGTTTGCCCTCGACTAATCTTTGAATCCTAGGGCACAACAGTTGCGATGTCTGTCCCATCAAGGGAGCCATTAATTCTAAAAAAAGATGAGGCTTTCTCAGAGGCCCTCATTACCCCCCGCCGAAGGGCGCCATTACCCCCAAAGGGGGCATGCCCCACCATTTGCCGACCCCTATTCTAACAGAACTTGATTGAGTGTCTTTCAAAGCCAGAAAATTGTAAAGGTTGTATAAATAAGGGCTTCGTGTGCTGCTCAGCCAAAAAAGTTTACAATTTGCCTGGAGACAGAGCCAGTATGCCAGCTTATACAGTTGGAGACAGCGTAGACATTTTTTTCACCTCTGATTTTCAGAAGCAGTACCTATCATACTCGTGGGCGTTTGACAGGCATGAAGAGCCGCCAAAACTGACAATTGGTCTGATGTCCCTGTGATCCTCCGCAAATACTTACAGGGGGAGAACAAAAGAGGTGGGATAATTTGTTACAAGAGAATTGAGTCATGGGACGACTTATTAGTGATATCATGTGTCAATCTGGTATATCAATATAGACGCCTCGTACACCAACTAATCTGACAACCATCTGGCTTTCCCAGTTATTTCCAGATGTCGGATCAAACATGTTACCTATGTAAAAACCGTCACCTCTTACAGTTACCGACTCATTGTGTGGTCTCCGACATGCAAAATACAGTAATCGGAGAGAACTTTCCAGAATCGTCAGGAAAACACCACAGGTATTACATGTCTGTCGTCATAGCTTATTAGTAATACTCGGCCCACGCCTGTTTCAACAGGTATTCAAGGGGACTCCCAAAACACCGTTGATTGATAGTTACTTGGAATTGCGGGCTCTATTGCTCAGACTCTGTCGAATATGTAGGAAGCAGGCGGTACAAGCAGACGCCCCTTTGAACACCACCGGGTTTGTCCCGGTAAGGTATCCACAGACAGACATACAGACAGAGTGCAGAGGCGTGACATGACTCGTGCATAGATCGGACCGGGACTACGGCTGCACGGAAGGCAGCTGTAAAGCCGCGGACGCTGACCCGGATCTCAGGCTGTTCGGTTATAGAATTAGCAGCAAATTAGCAAGGCAGTGCTCAATATCAACAGCAATTAGATTCTGCCGCTGCAACGTCTTTCCGAACTTGACATGACTCAACAATTATCAGCTTTGAAAAGAACATGTTGATTTCATTTTTGGGATTTCCGATTGGAGTTCGGTTTCGAAATGCAAATGCGAAGTGGAGATAAGAATTTTATTTCGCACTAAGAAAGAAAGATAATAGGGTGAGAGGTGCAAAAGCAACCAGTGCAAGGAAGGGACATACAGAAATGTCGAAACGTTTATTCTACATGATCCACGTGTTGAGGAAATTGAACGCCCACATTGTGTCATCTCGACACAAACCCATTCTCAATTCCTAATAAACACATTTTTATTGCACTTGTCATGGCACTTGTACACGCATTTATATTTCGAGATGGCCTCAGTCCCGGCCCGTTCAGTCGACCTGAGCCCAAATAGTAGGCGGCGCCTATCCGAACCACCGGCCGGCGGCGGCTCGCGCTGCCTTGCACCAGCTCCATTTAGGTACCGGCAGCGGCACCATCCGTCCAGGGAGGAGCCGTCGAATGTCACACGCACACGACAGCCACAATACCGACCGCCGCGGCACAGCTGTCGGCGCGCCATTTGTGACGCAGCGTCGACAATCGTGGCGCACGGCCGCAGACAATAGTGGCGCACCAATGGCGCCGATCATGGCGCGCCGGGACGCGATAACGTGCCGGCGAGGGGGGGGGTGGGGTGGGGGGTACGTCAGAACGCACCGCGACCGCGACGGCACCGCGACCGCAGAGATGGCCATACATTGTGGTCAAGGCATGACAGATTACGAGAAGTGAAGAGGTTTGAAATGTTTATTTGCAGAAGATTATCAGCAATATGAGCCTCCCTGAGCCTGGTTGTGACGGAGACACCATAAGCTTGCAGTATCAGCAAACGTAAAACCCATTGCCAAGACGTAGTAGTATTTCTGGAACCGCGAGTATGTACAACCGAAAGATAAACAATACCGTTACATTGTTACTGGGCACTGGCATATCCGGATACATGGAAAAATTGTCACTCAGCCTTACCGTGCCATTCCATGGCAGGACACATTGCATGAAAAGCAGCGATAGCGAAATAAACAACGATGATCTTGCAATGACAGCCCGGCCCTCAATATAATGTACTGGCTCTGCCCTAGGGCAGAGCAACAAAGACCGGTTATGTTTCTAGCTCCCATGATAAACACATGAAAAATTACCTTCAGAATGTCCATGGTCGGTTAGTAATGGCTTTTTCATCAGTACTTAGTGGCCTTACTACCAGTTTAAGAGAAAAGTTGAGCCATGGAGAGCAGAATAAATGCTAATGCAGTCTTGATGTTGTTTATACAAAGTTTACAATTCCTTGAGGAATACTAAAGTTACCATGCAAATCATGCGATGATTAAATGTAGACGATGAGAACGTTTCTCATGAGATGAGATGACGATGAGACCGTTTCTCATCGTCAAAAAAAATTGTTTGGGTCACCCGCCCCCTCCACACACGCACACAATCACATAAGGGTGTGCCAGGCACCTAGCCAACAATCAATTACGGTTTTATCGTAGTGGCTATGTGGCTGACCGCCATAAAACGTAATATGGCGCCCAGCTGGGACCTGCGATATACCACTGGCCTCTAATGGTCGCCTCATGTCACGTTAACAATCGCAGGTTCTAAATGCCCGACTGCCGCAATAGTTGCTACGCCGGTATGGTAAGCTTAGGGGAGCGTTTACAGAGAGTGCCTAAATCTCAGCTTTCATAATTTGGTTGCAGTAAATAAAAAACATTTTTTTGTGCTTAGAAATGTCTGGCGATCAATGAACAGACACAAATAAGTTTACGTTGCCCAATGCACACAATTTGCTGTCGCCAAGTGTTACTTTGTGTCTCAGGACGCTTCCTAAGTCAGCGCACGTACATTTTCAGACTAAGGTCATACTAAAGCCGGTCAGCGAAGTTGAGTGACGAGTTCCAATGAGGAATTAGCTGCTGACAGCTAGGAACCCTGGGATACAGCTATCGCACAGGGCAGGCAGGTGAGGATTGCCCAACTTCCGACTTGGACATTGGTGGCGTCGCAGTATCATGAAAGGAATTCTCCACTGTCTGTTATTGATTTTTGAATGCAATTCTCGTCAGAATTTTGTTGAAATGACCAAAACGAACAATTGTGAGAATTCACGTAACTTTTTTAAACGATTAGAAGTATTCTAACATTTTTAAACACTAAACAGCCAATGAATGTGATCAAAAGAAAGAAAAAACTTCTGCCGATCATAAGCGAATAAGGTTCAAAAAGGATATCCCATGTCCGTAGATTGATTTCAATACTTGCCGTTATGACTGTGCTAATGTGTCGGCAAAAGAGAAGGCATTTATGGAAAGAATGGATTCGTTCTCTATGACTACAATCATCTTCTGATCTTCGCCTCAGCTATGGCCATTGCTGGGTCGGGAATGCCTCACTATAGCTTATTTTCATCTCAAGCTTTACAAATTCACTATCCCAGACACAACTACCGCACTTCAAGGCGCAATA